CCACGGGCTGCAGGCCAAGCCTGTGATCTTGTCAGATCTAGTCAGACTTCCTCTTTTTACAGAGGAGTTGAAATGCCTCCCCCAAAGACACACAAGTAGAGACTTGAGGCAAAAATTGAACTAAGGTCCTCAGAGTCCAGGAATTTAACGTAAGCATGCCCTCCACACTCAGACATCTTAACTTCTCTGTGACTCAGCAGGCATTACTGCTGGTGAACAATTCATCCCGCTTTGGCCAGCGGCTCCTCTGCCCCACCAAACTTAGCTCGGCTGGTCTTTGGACACCAGCCTGCCATCTAGTCCATAGCTGAAGCTGTTTCAGACAGTAGAACGTTTCAGTGCTTTGCTCCACAAGCAGAGACCTTCCAGAGCCCAGGGACTCATCACCACAGTGATAACACCGATCAGGAGAGCCTTAGGAAAAGGTGTGTCCTTATTTTTTTATTTAGTAACATTTTAAAATGCAGGGTGTATCCTTTGCCAAACGTTGGGTACAATCCCTTTGGAAATAATGGTGGAATCCAACCAGCTCCCTCCGGGCCCACTCTCCGGATCCGGAGGACAGCTTCATGATGGCCCCGTGTACACTTCAGATCCCCCCTCACTCCTCAGCCTTCTCAGTCCCCTCACCCGCAGCCTTGGCCCCACCCCAGCGCCTCCCTCCTCTTACCTGTCCAGCTCCCCATTATCTGTGGTCTCCCACCATTAGAATGGAAGCTTCCTGAGGGAAGTGACTGTACTGTTTTGGTTTGAATTTGTATCGCCGATGTTCAAGATGGCACCTGGTACATAGTGAGTGTTCAACACCAACCTCCCAGGGTTGTTGTGAGGATAAACTGAGATAATATTTGTAAAACACCCTGCAAACCTGACAGGGCTCTAGGTATCATTAATAAGTGCTTTATCTGCTTACTGATGGTGGAAAGAGTGCCAGAGGACCGGGGTTTGGATCCCAGGCGTTCCACTTCGCTAGCTGTATGAACTCGGGCGAAGCATCTAACCTCTCTGGGCCTCAGTTTCATCATCTGTAACCTGATCCAAATCAGTGGTCCCACAGTCTTCTGGTATCTAGTAGTCAGGCCTTCCACTCATGGAGGGTGGGAGACTGGAGTCCTCCAGGGTCCCCCAATGAGAACATCCCATTTTCTAAGGCAGCCAATGCATTGTTACCTCCTGGAACCCTGACAAAGTGGTTAGGCAGCATTTAGATTAAAAATCTGACTCAAATTTAGCTCTCCTCAATCCCTAGCACTGGAGAAGAAGGAGAGAGGGATAATGAAATCCGCAGATAATCCCTAAACCTGTCTTTTGTCATTAGTTTTAACCTCCTCCCAACCTTCAAATCTCCTCAGAGCTGCTAACGAGCAGCAGAATTAACTGATTTGAGTCTCACCTACTTTCCCTTTTCATGCTCTGGTGAATGTGCTAATTGATAGCAAAATGCTTAAAAGGTGTAGAGCAGAATGAAGGAAGGAAGGAGGAGAGGGAAGGGACCTGAGTAATCCATAAACCAGATAACAAGCCTTTTAATAACCAACCAGCAACTCTGCCCCTTTCTGTAATGTGATCCTGGTGATACTTGCAAATGTTCCAATTAAGAAGTCAGTTCAATTTTCCTTTTTGCTAAGGTTCCTCTACCTTTTCAGAGTCTAAGAGCAGAAAGAACTGATCAGAATTCTGTGTAAAAGCGTCTCAAATAGGTGAACACTAGCCTCCGAGGACAGGAGGAAACCCCCATTTCTGTTTCATTCCAAGTTTAATAAATTACATCTTTACTTCAGCATCTCCCCAGTCTAAAATCCCCACCATTGTTCTCCGCAAAGTCTTCAAGGCAGAATTGGTTTCCCAGGCTGACAATCTAAGTATATGATCCAGTTCCATTTTTATAAAGCTTTTATGTGAGTGATGTACCAGGAAAAATCAGATTTAGCACCTAACCCATGCTTAGACAAGGGGTTCTTAGCCTTACTGTGTGTCATGGAACCATTGGATGAGCAGGTCATCTGGAGAAGCTTAGGGGCCCCTTCTCAAAATGTTTTTAAATACTTGAAGGAAAATACTAGGTTTCAGTTAGAAGTTACTGAAAATAAAGATGTAATTCCACCCCTGCTTTACAAGTTCATAAATCCCCTGAAACTTATGCAAGGACCAAGTGTTCAGTAGACCCCAGGTTAAGAACCTCTGCCTTAGAGAATGGCCCAACCAGGATGCTCTTTTCCAGTATGTGATCCTGGTTTTGTCCAGGAGAGAAAGCAGAGGGGAGGGACTATAATTTCAAACCCCAGCAAACATTGGCCTATTTATCCACAGCCCAGAGCCCTAGTATTAGTGTCTTACCCCATAGATTACGCTGAGGTAAACACATAAAACCACACACACACACACACACACACTCTCCTCGAAGTGTGGTGAAGAGGTCCTATGGGACAACTGCTGAGTATTTAGAACTTTCCCAGGACAGTCTAGGCAGGCTCACTAGGAAATACAAACATCTCTTGCTCTTTGAGGGTTATTATATAGTTTCGGATTTTCACCACAGCAGCTCTGACTTTCCCGACCTTTTCTGAATCCACATTTTCCCAGGGTCCCAAGGAATAAAGTTTTCCCAGTCTTGAAAGTAGAAAGTTAGAGGGTGGGGGAGAAGCAGAAGCTAGTCTGGGGTTTTGTAGCCACTTATCCTAGAAAACAGGTATGTTTTCAAGGGCTATCAACTCTCTCCTTTCTTCATTCCTAGTCGTCTCTTTCTTCCCCTCCCCCTCCAGCTTTTGGATTGGTTCCAGATCCCAGAAGGAGAAAAGTAACAGACCTCTGGGAAAACACAAGCTGGGAAGGAAGTGAAGGAGCCATCTAAGCCCCAAACCGGAGTCTGTTGTTTGCCTTGGGAGGAGGTGGAAGAGGCAGGATTTCCCCGAGGCCTCGGGATGCTTACAAAGAATGAAAGTTTAGCCTGGAGAATGTTCTTGATACTTAACAAGGAACCACGACCCAACTTCCTCACCGCTGTCTGCTCTACTGTCCTGGTGGCCTTGTGCACAAGGACATGTCTCCAAACGAAGGCACCCCACAGAGTGTGGAACCCGGACACACAGCACGTATTAGGACTTGCTTGAATTAAGGCAGCTCCGCTGACACCTTAGGTCCCCTCGCAGCTGTGAGAGTTCTCCTCTCCCAAACCTTCCAGGTATCTTTTGGGTACATATTCTGCATAGCCTTAGGCTCATTCGATCCCATTAGCCAGTGATCTCCTCGAGACAGGGGCCTTTCTTTGTATCCCCAGCTTAGCACAGCCTAGCACACTGAGGCGCTCACATGCTTACTGACTGACACATAGGTGCATGTGCCCCTACCCCTAGAATATAAACTCCTTGAGAGCAGGGGTTATTTTGCTTTTATTTTTGTAATCCCAGGGTTTTGTGCCTGGTACGTAGCAGGCTCGCGAGGAAACTGAGCCAGACAGGGGTTAAGTGACTTGCCCAGAGTGAAAGCTAATGTCTGAGGTAGGATTTGAATTCAAATGTTCCTCCCTCCAAAGCTGATGCTTCCTCAACATCTCCTAGCTGCTTCCAGTTTGTCAGCTAAAAAATTCTGAGTCAGAAGGGACATCAGAAATTCACAGCTGATTAAGGAAACCCTTAACAACCAAAAGACAGCAGGCTGAGAACTGCAAGGGATTGTAGAGAACATGGCATCTAAACTGATCAAATATACCCGCCATCAGGGCATGAGGCAGAGACGCAAGAGCGCGGCCTCTGGAAATCTCGGTCAAAATCCTTCCCCAGGAGGACAGGAAGATGTGGGGGGGGGGGAGTGCTCCCTTGCAGACCTCAGCCTTGTCACCTGGAACATCAGGACTTGCCTCCCTGGAGTGAAGTTTGGTTTCTTTCTCTACTCCCTTTCCCCAGAAGGACGAAGGGCAGTTGGCAAATGACGTTAAGCAGATCATCTGGGAAGAGGTTCAAAGCATCCCTCGGAGACATGAAACCCAGGCCTAAAGTGTTCGTCCCCCCAACCATTCTGAAATAAACATGCGGGCCCTCCGGCCCCTCCTCCAGACACGAAATGAGCAAGGCTCGCGCTGGCCTGGGAGATGCCCCTCTGGTGAAGGCTCCCGATGCAGCAGCTAGGTGAGCATCGCCTCTGCCCAGGTGTAGACGCAAGCCCAGGATCTAAACATGAAGCTACAGGGCGAGGCCCAGGTAAGGGATGCCCTGGAAATGGCAGCAGCGCGGAGTAAAGCCGGACTCCCAGGCGCTCGGCCCGGGGGCACAGGTCACTGGCACCCTGCAGGGAGAGATGCTCTCCTCGCCTCCCGCGTGGAATCTGCACCCTATAGAACCTTCAGGGGGAGGGGCGTGGCCGCGCGGGGTCCAATAGGAAGTCGCCCAGCTGTAGCTTCTATTCCAGTTCATTAGCATAAGGGGGCCGGAATCTCCACTAATAAACACACCCTCCGCCAGCGAACTTTTCCCGGTCCTGTCCGCAGCCTCCCGCAGCACCCCGCGATGCTCCGAACGACTTGTAGCGGCTGACAGGCTCTCCCTTCACCCTCTCCCGCAGCCCCGGGGGGCGCGGGAGCAAGGCAGAAAAGGCCGAAAGACAAGACAGGCTTGGCCGTCTCCCCCGTCCCGGCTCCCCTGCCGGGCTCCGCCGCCGCCAGGTAATGCGGCTCCAGCCCGACAGCAGCCCCGGGAGGGGGCTGAGCACGGGCAGGCAGACAAGCCCCAGCCCCCAGCCCGCAGTCCCTCCCCGCAGCCCCCCTGCTCTCCTCACCCTTTCTTCTGCACACAGCCCCGTCCCCCCCTCCTCGGCGCCAGCCTGCAGCTCTGACAATGCGGAGAAAACCAGGGCAGCGGAGGAAGGCTGAGCCCGGCAGCAGCAGCCGCAGAGCCGCTCGGAGGCCGAAGGCAAGCGAAAGCCCCCGGGGACCGGGATGCGGCTGAAGCCCGCGCCTCCCTCCCCGCCCGGCCGCCGGCGTGCGAGCAACAGATAGGAGCGGTTACCTTCAGCATGCACGCCATGTTCCTTCCCCAGCCTCTCCGCCACCCGAGGGTCGGGGCCGGCCTGGCCGAAAGCAGCTCCAGGCTCCGGCGAGCCAGTCCGAGCGGCGGGGCCAGCGCGCAGGACTCTAGAGCAGGGTACCACGGCGCCCAGCGGGAGATCCGTTAGGCATAGTCAGCTTCTCGTGCCCGGTTTGTTCCACCCATCGGCTCCTGCCACTGGCTGGGGGCCAGCCCAGCACCTCCCCTCCGTCACATGACTGCCTTTGATTCATGGCTCCAGAATGTACACTTTTTTTTTCCTTTAAGAAGGAGGGAAAAAAAAATGAGCTTCTGGTCTCCTTCCCTGCTACAACATATACAAAACTGCAGGGCTTCCGAGGGAGAGGACTGAAGCCAGAGCAGGAGGGGGAAAAAAACAGCTTTGAGCTCTGAGCCTTTCCAGGATATCCAGCAGCCTTTTTGCAGGCACCTCACCCTTGCAAAAAATAAAAATTAAATCCACTTTGAAAGCCCTGCCTCATCAAAATGGCCCCACCTGGGACGTGTCTGAGGAGTCTTGAAAGTGGAAATGAAACTCCCCTGACACTGACAATATGGCAACTAACTATTTGTGCAATCAATTGTTTAAGTAAAAAATCTGGGGTTTGCACCTTATGCATTGACTGGTCTCTGAAAGAACGTGCAACGCCAGCCCCGGCTCCTCCCCCTCTTACCAGTCCCCAAACTTTGGAAGAAACTTTTCGGAATCCGAGAATCAAAGGTTGCCTCTAAATGCCTCAGTCAGGTGTGACATTCTGTAAGGTCAAGTTTCACCAGACTGCTAAGACCTCAGGCGAGGCGGGGGCGGGGAGAGAAGGCTGGCTCTGCCCCCCTTGCTCCCCACCCCTATTCCAGCCCTGTTCTCAGTCCCGAGGGGCAGGCAGCTCCTCAGTGCAGGGCTAAGTGCAAGCCCACATCTGCCTGCAGGAGGAGGGTTAGCTCTGGGATGCAAAGAGCGCGTAGGAAGTCCCTGGAGCGTGGAGGGCTAGGCTCTGGGGAAACAGACAGAAGGAACACATTCCTGCCTTCAAGGAACCTACTACACTCTAGTTGGGCAGGGGTAAGGCAAAGGAGGAAGCCCTGCATCTGTGCAGCAGAGGGATGGAGCAGACCGGTCTGTGGTGCTTATTAGACATGCGCTCCTGGGCAAGCCACTTAACCGTGTTAGGACTCAGTTTCTTTGTCTGTAAAATGAGGGTTTGGGAGGAGATGACCTCTGAAGTCCCCTCCAGTCAAAGATAGATGATTGGGTGATCCCCTATGCATTTACACACGATAGTATGAGGAGGAGGAAAAGAACCCTGAGAACTGAGTGGGTCAGCCAAGGTCCCCCTCAGGAGCAGGGCACTCCCTCGGCCTGGGGCTGGGAAAGGCACACACAGCCCACTTTGCAGCTTCATCTGCACGCTTCTCATTTTCTCCTCATTCTATTAAGTCTTCACAATCAACAAAACAATCAAACTCTGATTTGTGGCATTTGCCAACTTCCAAGACATAAATGCTCAGCCCGAACATTGAGCAGTCAGCGTTCACTAGAGCTGATGGGTCAGCTCCAGCACAGCTCTGTAGGGAAGGCACGCCAGGCGGGAGGAAAAGCCCAAACAAAGACACGGAGGTCAGAGCTAAAATGCCACATTTGGGAAACAGCAAATAATAATGATAGCAGCAGCAGTATTTCTGTAATAATGCTTTAAGGTTTAAAAAGTGATGTATGTATAGTTTCGCGTTTGATCCTCACAACAGCCCAGTGAGGCAGGTATAAACGTTGAGGTTTAGGGGTGCTGGGAACCCAAAATCACGACCTGAGGGTCCTGTCTGAATGAATTCCACCCAAGCCTTCTTTCAGCCAAAGACAAGGTTTATTAAAGATCCACCATATTGGCCAGACTCTAAACATTTGTGACGCTTGTAAAGACAAGTGGGCTTGAGCAAGTCTCAGTCCCTAAATGGCGGCCAGGATGGATCTTACATACAGAAAGACCAGGAGAGGCCAAGTAGTTTGGGGTGACTGGAGGAGGGGTCTAGGGAGGATCTTGATGGGAGTGACTGGGAGGTAGAATGGAGTCTAGACAGAGTCAAGGCTGAGAAGTGGCCCAGAATTGGGAGATTGCCTACACAGGCAATAAGGAAAGGCCAGTTGAACTGCTAGAGACTTTCTAGACCAAGTAAGAGAGCTCAAAGAAAGTTTGAGGAGGGGGTTTCTTACAGCCTGTCTTGGGCTCATACCTCAACATAATTATTCCCATTTTATAGACAAGAAAACTGAGTCTCACAGAGGCTAAGCAATTTGCCCATGGTCATATAGCTAGTGACTGTCTGAGGCAGATCCTTTCCCTTTCCCCTTCCCTCCCCATCCCTTTCCCCTCTTCTCCTTTCCTCTCCCTCTGCCCACATCGGGTATCATACCCTTACCTGCAGGTACTCTGCCCAAAAGAATGTAAATTTTGATCGATGAAACCTCCCATGATATCTTGGGGTTTCTGTGCTAGATTTCTTAAAAGACTGTGGCTTAAACCCAATTCACTTATTGATTGGCCAAAGACAGGAACCAGCCCAACACCCACTTAGTGGTCATTGTTTGGGTCCTGGGGGCTCAGAGTAAGTGTAAATAGTAACTGTTTGTGTTTTGGCCAGAAATCCTGAGGGTCTTCTCCTCCCAGATTGATTTTTGTTTTTGTTTCTGTTTTTTTTTTTTGGTTAGGCAATGGGGTTAAGTGACTTGCCCAGGGTCACACAGCTAGTAAGTGCTATGTGTCTGAGGTCAGATTTGAACTCAGGTCCTCCTGAATCCAGGGCCGGTGCTCTATCCACTACGCCACCTAGCTGCCCCTGATTTTTTTTTTAATTAGATAAAAGGGACCATTCCTAGGCTCATTTCTTACCTAGCCTTAATCACTAAATGGGCCTTACTTCAGTCAGATTGAAAACTGGGAAAGACTAGCTTAAAAAGGCCAAGGTCTCCCACTGGGCCATCTCCAGTCATCCTGATCTATATCTGGCCACTGGACCCAGATGGCTCCGGACAAGAGAGTGAGGCTGGTGACCTTGCACAGCCCTGCTGTGCTTAAATCCAATTCACTTGCATGTCATGGCATCACCTCCGTGATGTCATGGTCCCCTTCAAGAACAAAAAAACAAACAAGTCTGAGGCAGAATTTGAACTCAGGTCTTTCTGACTCCAAGTTCAGTACTGTAGTCACTGCACATCCTAGCTGCCTCAAGGGAGTAGGGGCTGAATGTAAAATGCACAAGGGAGCGGCAGGAAACAGGTCTAGAAAAGAAAATAAGCGAAGTCCAGATTGTGAAGGGTTTTAAAGAACTGGAAACTGAAGAGGTGTCCAGCAAGTGCAAAATGGCCAAGCCAATTATGTCATGCAAATGAAAGCAAATGCTATAAGGAATGGTGCAAGTGATGGTTCTGGAGAAACCTGGGGAGACTTTTATGAAGTGGTATAGAGCCGAGTGAGCCAAAACAGAGCAATTTCTACTGCAATCTACTGTAACGGTAAAAATGAACAACTCTGAAGTCCTTAAGAGTTCTCATCAAATCCACGGTGATTCCAGAGGACCACTGATGAAGCAGGATGCCCACATCCTGAGGGGTAGACTCAATACACAGAATGAGACACATTTCTGGACACGACCAATGTAAGAATTTGTTTTGTCTGGCTGTGCATGTTTGCTATGAGAGTTTTGTTTCCTTTTCTTTCTTTTTTCTTCCTTCTTTTTTTTTGGGGGGGATGAGAGGGAGAGGAAAAATGCATGTCAATCAAAAAAAGTTAATTAAAACATTTACAATTATCTACTAGGCTATTGCCATCATGACCCGCAGAGTACAGATGAAGGAGCATTGACTCCAGTCAGAGAAGCTGCGTTCAAATTCTACCTTGGACAAATTCTGCCTGGATAATCTTCAGCACAGCATTTAACACCCCTCAGCCTGGATTTCTTCAACTGTAAGAGGAAGGGCTTGCCTTCTTAGTCCCCTTCCTGCTTTGGGTCATCCTAAAAAGAGAAAGGGAGAAGCTCAGGGATATGGGTTCTATATCATTTATTTTTTCTCAAACAAGTCTTACCACTTGGGTATCAGAGGAATGTTTAAAACCAGCTTCAAAATATTTTCCCACTTGAGGTTGGGGGTTACTGGAATCAGGATCCATCTTTCTTCTAAGTACTCCCAGAAAAGCACTGTGGTCTAGTGATCAGAGAACCCGTCAAGAGAGGGATAGGACTGACTAGAAACCTGCTGAAATGGGGCTTTCAAAGGATTCTTCATGTTTTCCTGATGACGATATGTGTTTTTTTAATACTTAAAAGCAGGGAAGGGAACCACAGAAGTGGATGAGAGAGAAAGTTTGGACATGAAGAGGGCAACTACCTTATTTTGCCCCCCAATCCCTCACAGGTAGCCACTGTCCCCATAGACCCTTCCTCTTTCCAGTTCTCTTGCCAACCCTTCCAACTCCTACCAAAGCTTCAACCAGAATGCCTTGGACTGGAATTTAATTTCAAAACTTGCTTTAGCGAATGACTTTCAGTTGGCTTAGGAATCCAGATTCTGTCACAGTTACACAGCGCTTTTTATTCTTCACCTCTCAAGAACAAACAGACAAGGGAAATGTTCTTTTGGAGATGATCAATGGTAGCAGCTCAAGTTTCCAGAGAGCTTTGCAGGCTGCAAATTAGCTTGCATACACTTATGGGATTGTAAACGGCAGCAAACTGAAACCACGTCGTCCAAGCTTCTCATTTTATAGATACAGAAACTGAAGCTCAGTGAGGTCGTGACATGATCACGACAACCTGGGGAAACTGGAAGCACAGCATTCTTGGTCCTCTTTTACATATAGGTAAACTGAGACTCAGGGAGCTTCATCGATATTCCCAAAGTCCCATCAGATGCGTAAGTGTCAAAGGTGGGATCTGAACGCAGGTTTTCCAGATTCTAAAGTCCATCATTCCATCCGCTGTGCTCAGCCTATTTTTTTTTCATTAATGAGACAGCTATTTGCTCATCTGGGGCTTCTCAGAAGGATAGCTATATTAACACTAATTACTTCTTTGTCTGCCAGGTCTACACTAACTCTTAACAGGACTCCTTGAGTAGATCACTGATGTTCAATTAAATTCCACTTCTTTTTCATAAGGAGCTAGCCATACAAAAAAAAAAGTGTTTTTTTTTTCTTAATTAGCAAACATGAAGTCATACCTGAGAGCAGATTCTACCTGAAACAGATTCATCACTCAAAAAACCAGACTCAGTCCTCTCTAGTGTAGGCTGGGACCATTATTTTTATGAAAGAATGACAAATAATAATATTTCCCTGTAAATTCCCCCAAACCCAATTAAATGAAAACTCTTTTTAAAAGAAAGAAAAAGAACAGAAGGCCAAGTTCAGAGTGCTAGACCTACTTCTAAGCTAATGGGAGAAAGGGAGGAGGGACTGTTTTCCTCTTAGATCAGGGAGAAATCTCTAGTGAAACATAACTAGTAATAGTAATAATAATAACTAGGACTTATACAGAGCTTTACGGTTTACAAAGTGATTTATAAACATTCACCCTTGCTATCCTCACAAAAACCCTGGGAGGT